CCTCTAATCCGTCACCTTTGGGACTGGGGGTATGGTCGGAACGCAAAAAAGGTCGGATTATCAGAAAAAAGTAAAATAAACAATCTTCCCCTTTGTCCAGTCTTTGTAGCACTGCTAATTTTTCATTTAATGAAAGAGTAACGTGTTTATGTTTCACTCCTGACATGTTAAAAACACACACAAAACTGTACAAGTACACACAATGTAAAACATATACTGTAACGAACACAGAAAAACACCACGGACTATGAGTCACCAACGAGTCAGGACAAGTTTCTCGACTCCAACCACGGTCGGATTAATCGGAGTGACGGACTAGCTGAGGGCAGACTAGAGGGGTTCTACTGTATATTATTCTAAATTATTTAATCATTATTAAATAATTTAGAATAATAAGCTACTGGAGAATTATTTAAAAGGTACTACAAAAGGTACCAAACCTTCTTTGTAGTACCTTTGCATTCTTTGCTATACTTCCACTCCAGTATTAATAAGTATGAATATATCACTTAACTGCACAACACACCGGGTTGTATATAAAATGTGCGACTCACATCAACTAATTAACCAATGTGAATACAAATAACATTTAAGTAACGAACATTTCATAACTCCTTCCATGCTCTTTATCAGGCTTCTTAATTCAAAACAGGCTGGCAGTTAACATTCAAATATAAATTGAATGGTAAGGAATTTTGAATACTGTATGCACATGAGTTCTCTGCTATGTATCGCAGCGCCATCTATGGAAATTCTAAATGTATATAGTTCATAGCGCGCCTGCGCACCGCAGTCAGTTCTGTACTGTTCTGTATTCAATAAAGACGTGCTTGTTATACTTGTTCATAAGAATCCGTTTCCATCCTTCTAATCTAATTCCGACGACAATACACACCAATTCTGGCAACGAGGTGGATTAAAGATAATATATTTCTTCTCGTAATGTTCATTCTCTACGCTCATTCCTAGGTATGTTGAACTATTATTCTAAATTTGTACCTAAACTGTCTATTTACCTACACCCCCTTTACAAACTCTTACGTAAAGGATGCTCTTGGATCTGGACAAAAGAGCATGAATCTGCTTTTCAAAGTGCAAAAAACTCACTAAAACAAGCTAAACTTCTCATACATTATGATCCTAACAAAGAATTATACTTGGCTACAGATGCTTCTCAATTTGGTATCGGTACTGTTCTTTTCCATATTATCGACAATGTGAAACGTCCTATTACATTTGCTAATGCTTTACTTTCGCCTGCTCAACATCGATATTCTCAGACAGAAAAAGAGGCACTATCCATTATTTTTGGTATCAAGAAATTTAGACAATATCTTCTTGGTCGTCATTTCATTCTAGAAACAGACCATAAGCCTTTACTTGCAATTTTTGGTGATAAAAGAGGACAGAATGAGATTGTAGCTGCTAGACTACAAAGATGGAGCATCATACTGAATGATTATAATTATACAATTAAGTACATTTCTTCCGCAACTAATATCATAGCTGATGGCCTTTCCAGAAATACTACTAATGATCTATTCATAGAAGATTTTAGTAACTCAATTCCAAGTTCATTATTTAATTTGCAATTTGACTCCCTTCCTTTTACCAATAGTGCTTTTATAGAAGCATCTCGTACAGATAAACTTTTCAATGTTTTGCATAAGTGCATCAAGAATAACTGGCATCAGGTAAATACAGCTGTTAAGCCATTTCTTAAATTCAAGGATTCCCTTTCTCTAGAAGGAAGCTTAATATTTATGGGTGATAGAATATTTGTTCCTGAGAAATTTTGCAGAAATGTTCTTATTGAACTACATTCAGGACATCAAGGTATCGTTAAATTGAAAATGTTAGCAAGATCAATTGTCTGGTGGCCAGGCATTGATAGTGATCTAGAACGAACAGTGAAAGAATGTATTTTATGTCAGTCATTCCATCGAAATCCTCCCTCTACCAATACTTTAAGATGACCAATTCCTGAAGAACCTTGGAGTAGAGTGCATATCGACTTCGCTGGACCTTTCCTTGGAAAAATGTTTCTAATAGGTATTGATGCAAAAACTAAATATCCTGAAATTAAAATAATGCAATCCACAGATTCTTCCGCTACTATTCTGGCACTTAGATCTTGGTTTAGTCGTCATGGCCTTCCATTACATGTTCATTCTGATAATGGCCCTCAATTCACATCTCGTGAATTCAGAATGTTTTTAGCACAAAACGGAATTCGTCAGACATTCTCTCCGCCGTACCATCCTGCAACTAATGGAGCAGTTGAAGGATTTATCAAAACGTTTAAGTCGTCCTTAAAAAAATTAAGTCGTGAAAAGGATTTAATGACATCCCTCCTCCAATTCCTTACTTCATATCGTACTACTCCTCACTGTTCTACTGGTAAAACACCTAGTGAAATGCTATTCAACAGAAAACTTCGTTCAAGACTAGATTTGTTGCGCCCTTTAACCTTATCGGATAACAACGTAGTTCGTCCACAGCGTTCTTTCATGATAGGAGACACAATTTTTGCTCGTGACTTTTGTTCTAAAGAATATTGGGTTGCTGGTAAAGTTATTCAGAAACTTTCACCTGTTACCTATAACATTGAGCTCCCT